ATGAATATGACTATTTTAGCGAAGTGAAAGGTTACTTTAGTTAAGAACAGTGTTGGAAAGAGGCTACACATGACTATTTTTCAGATGAGAGAAGTGATATTTCAGTTAAGAAACGACAGGGAAACATGATGAAGTAGCTATTTTTTAGTTGACTGATGAGTACTTTTAGTTAAGAAATGAGGAAAGTGACTAAGTTTTAGTTGATTGGCGAAAGATTTTAGTTAAGAAGTTACAAGAAAAGTTTGTCTTTTGTAAATTTGGAACTGAATAAAGTGTAGATTTGTTTAAGAACAGGGTTGGTAGAACTATTAAGTTGACAACGAGAATTACTTTGACATAGTTTTTGCAAATATAACTGGGTGACTAAAATTGTTGAGGGAACTGTATTGCTGTAATGAACACAGTGAACATACGGTGAACACAGAAAACATGTAAGAAAAAGTTGATGAATAGAGTGAACATGCAGGGAATATGAACTTGTAGAGAATATGAAGACATGATAATGAACATAGGGAATACAAGAATGAACACTGAACATGTGAAAAACAAGCTAAGAACATTGAGAACATGAATATTGAGTATAAAAGTTATACAGAGAACATATGATGTACATGAAAACATGACAAAGAACATAGTGAACATATGGGGAAAATGGTAGAAAAGAGTTGAACTGAGCATGCTATGAACATTTGTAGAACATGGAATGAACGCAGAAAACACGGAAAAAATGTGAAGAACACAGGTGAATATAGTGAAAATATGCAAATACAGTATAATTATTGAAGGTTTGGATACGTTGGGGCTCTGATAAACAGATAGGCTGGAGAGGGACTTGATCGGATATATTTATGTTCGATGATCTAAGACCGAGGAAATGGAGCTTGGCTAATGCCCTGATTAATTTTACTACGTTAGAAATAAGGCGATCTTAAATCTCAGGTGATTTAGTTGGAAATAAAGAACTTGTACAAAATGAACTAAGCTGGGGGACAAGAGTTGAAACTTGATAACTGAACTGGTTTTTATTTACTATGTCTGAAAATGTAGTTGGGTGTTTAAATCTCAGGGGGATTTGGACTGATAGTAATGAATTTACAGGAGTGAACTTGGACAGAGGACTAGAGCTAGAGTTTTATAATTGTTTACATCATATTTACTATGTCTGAAATACAGAGGGTAAAAATTTCAGGGAAATTGATAGGTTATTTACAAAGATACGAGAGAGAACTAAGGTAGGGACGAGAGCTGGAGCTCAGTAACTGACTTGATCTTATTTACGGCGCCTAAAATACAGAGGGTAAAAATTTCAGGGAAATTGATGGGTTATTTACAAATATACGAGAGAGAACTAAGTTGGGGGACGAGAGCTGGAGCTCGATAACTGTTTGATCTTATTTAATAACTTTGAAGTATGTCCGCTTTTAAATTTTGGGGAAAATTGATCTGTTACTAACGATCTTGTACAAATGAACTAAGGTGGAGGACGAGAGCTGGAGCTCAGTAACTGACTTGATCTTATTTACTAACTTTGAAGTATGCTTTTAAAATTTCGGGGAAAATTGGTCTGTTACTAAATGTACAAATGAACTAAGCTGGGGACAAGAGCTGGAGCTCAGTAACTGACTTGATCTTATTTACTAACTTTGAAGTATGTCTGCTTTTAAAATTTCGGGGAAAATTGATCTGTTACTAACGATCTTGTACAAATGAACTAAGCTGGGGACAAGAGCTGGAGCTCAGTAACTGACTTGATCTTATTTACTAACTTTGAAGTATGTCTGCTTTTAAAATTTCGGGGAAAATTGGTCTGTTACTAACGATCTTGTACAAATGAACTAAGCTGGGGACAAGAGCTGGAGCTCAGTAACTGACTTGATCTTATTTACTAACTTTGAAGTATGTCTGCTTTTAAAATTTCGGGGGAAAATTGGTCTGTTACTAACGATCTTGTACAAATGAACTAAGGTGGAGGACGAGAGCTGGAGCTCAGTAACTGACTTGATCTTATTTACCGGGTATGACTGGGTTAATAAACAAGATGTGCGAGGGAAGTAATGCGGGGACATGAGCTAAGGTTTGGTAATTGAATCGATTGATTTGAGAAAACTGTTTTTGTTTAATGTATGGAACTATCATTACGAAGTTCATATAGCTGTACGGATTTGAGAAAGAACAATATTAATGATAATGATTAGGGAGAGTAAGGTGTCAGGTAGAGAGACTGGTCTAGATAAGATTGTGACGATAAGATAGCAGCGGCGTTCGGTGGGGGTCGGTGTAGGTGGCGCGGGAGTGAGATGCGGAGCGGGTGCGAGGTATGAACAGGTGTTGAGGCGACGCTAGATAATGTAAGATTACGGAGATGACCCTCCGCCTTGTGAGATAGGGATGGAGGTAGGGGCTACATGCGTAAACGCTATCTAAAATGGTTATTCTTACAGACGAATAGGACGGATATTATACAAGCGGATTGAGGAGTGAGCTTCTTAGAACTTCGGGCTAAATGACTCGTTTATTATAAATTGTGTAAACTAAGAAATAGATGAGTAAATAAATAAATTAAAAATAAATAAATATGTTTTATTAACGCCTAATGTATATGTATAAATTATTACGGTGGCGAACGCTGACAATGACTGGTAGATGTCAGGGCAGGTAATGAGGCGATGATTGCCTTGGGCAGATAGCCCGGGGGGCAGGTAGCTGGTGTCCAGCCTAGATAATCTCAGAGGCAGTTTTAGTAATAAAGGTTACATTGAGATGCTTCGGTTGATTTGTATAAAACTGACTGGTTAATGAAAAAGGAATACAACATTACGATGTCAGCAAAATAGGAAGAGAGAATAATATGAAGAGGAGAGAGAGAGAGAGAGAGAGAGGGTGGAGGGACGGTCCAGATATTATGGAGAAGATAAGATAAGATAAGATAAGAGGTGACCTACACGAGGCGTCTGGCTGGCTGGCATAAGGCAAACACAGGTGACGCGAGAGATTGCGAGGTAAGGGGGGAGGGAGGGGGGTGTGAGGTATATGAGTGGGAGATGCGGGGGGAGGGAAAGGTGAGGGAGGGGGGATGGCAGGGGAATGAATTAGATATATATATAGTAATATACAAGTTTCTAAGTAAGAAACAAATAAGAACTTTTAACAAAACTCGTATGACATTATTTCATGATAAGACCTTTAACAAACTTCTAAGTCTCGGAAATTATTTTCATCATAAGAACTTTAACAAACTCGTATGACATTATTTTTCATTATAAGAACTTTAACAAAATTCTAAAATCTGTGACTGACAAAATTACCTGAAAACCCTGGCTCATAAACTCGAATTTGAATTTCTCCCATAAGACCTTTAACAAACTTCTAAGTCTCGGAAATTATTTTCACCATAAGAACTTTAACAACTTCTAAAATCTGTGACTGACAAATTTACCTGAAAACGGTGGCTCACACACGGGATTTTGGACCTGAAAACCCTGGCCCGCACAGGGGATTTTGGACCTGAAAACCCTGGCCTGCACAGGTGATTTTCTAAATTTACCTGAAAACCCTGGCCCGCACAGGTGATTTTTTCCCCCCCCCCCAAAAAAATCACCTGTGTGGAGCTATCCCTACTACTACTAACTCCCAGGTACCTATTTACTGCTAGGTAACAGGGGCACTTAGGGTGAAAGAAACTTTACCCATTTGTTTCTGCCTCGTGCGGGAATCGAACCCGCGCCACAGAATTACTAGTCCTGCGCGATATCCACCAGGCTACGAGGCCCCCACAACCACAATGTGTGTGTGCGTGTGCGTGCGTGCGTGCGTGCGTGTGTGTGTGTGTGTGTGTGTGTGTGTGTGTGTGTGTGTGTGTGTGTGTGTGTAGGAAAACAAAAGTTGTTAGTAATACAGTTGATTGACAGTTGAGAGGTGGGCCTAAAGAGCATAGCTCAACCCCTGCAAACACAACTAGGTGAATACTCAGACACTCAAACAATAACATACAAGTATACACACACACACACTCAGGTACACAAACAATAACATACACACACACTCAGGTACACAAACAATAACATACACACACACTCAGGTACACAAACAATAACATACAAGTATACACACACACACACTCAGGTACACAAACAATAACATACACACACACTCAGGTACACAAACAATAACATACAAGTATACACACACACACACACTCAGGTACACAAACAATAACATACAAGTATATACACACACACACACACTCAGATACACAAACAATAACATACACACACACTCAGGTACACAAACCATAACATACACGTACACTCAAACACATTCACACACTCAGGCACAATAACATACAAGTATACACAAACACACTCAGGTACACAAACAATAACATACAAATATACACAAACACACTCAGGCACACAAACAAGTGTATATATACACAAACAATAACATACACTCACACTCAGGTACACAATAACATACACACACACTCAGGTACACAAACAATAACATACAAATATACACAAACACACTCAGGCACACAAATAATAACATACACAAACACACACACTCAGGCACACAAACAATAACATAAACACACACACACTCAGGCACAGAAACAATAACATAAACACACACACACTCGGGCACACAAACAATAACATACACAAACACACACACTCAGGCACACAAACAATAACATACACAAACAAACACAGGCACACAAACAATAACATATCAGGCAAACAAACATACATATACATACAACACACACACAAGCCAGGATGAACAAACAATGGTCTTCCTGGTTCAGGTTTTTGTTAAGGTCATTATCCCCGTCGTGCACTAATATAATCATCAAGTGATAACATTAACTTTATTATATTATACAAATGGTCCCTTAAAGGAGAAAGTTAACAATAGTTCCTACAGGAATATATTGTTAATGGCGGACAATACGGACAATATCCTCGCCCCAAGACGTCATCTGTGAAGACCAAACTTACCTGGCCCGATATCATTGTCTCTGTCCAGGGTGGAGAACTTCATCCCACTGTGGTTGTGGTGCCGTACAAGGACGTCCCCCATGGTACTCTCTTCCTGGTACCCGTCCACCAGCAGCTGGTACCTGGACCATGGTAGGAGATGGTAGGAGTAGTGTGGGTGGAGATTGTGGAGGGTGGTATGGGTGGTGATGGTGGAGGATGGTGTGGGTGGTGATGGTGGACGGTGGTGTGGGTGGTGATTGTGGAGGGTGGTGTGGGTGGTGGTGGTGGAGGGGTGGTGTGGGTGGAGATGGTGGAGGAGTGGTTTGGGTGGTGATGGTGGAGGGTGGTGTGGGTGGTGATGGTGGAGGGGTGGTGATGGTGGAGGGTGGTGTGGGTGATGATTGTGGAGGGGGGGTGGTGTGGTGGTGGTGAGGGTGGTGTAGGGGTGGTGTGGGTGGTGGTGGTGGAGGGTGGTGTGGTGTGGTGATTGTGGAGGGGGGTGTGGGTGGTGGTGGTGAAGGGTGGTGTAGGTGATGGTGGTGTGGGTGGTGGTGGTGGAGGGTGGTGGTGTGGGTGGTAGTGGTGGAGGGTGGTGTGGGTGGTGGTGGTGGAGGGTGGTGGTGTGGGTGGTGGTGTAGGTGATGGTGGGTGTGTGGGTGGTGGTGGAGGGGAGGGTGGAGGGGGTGGTGGGGGTGGAGGGTGGTGGTGGTGGAGGGGGGTGTGGGTGGGTGGTGGAGGGGTGGGTGGTGGTGGTGGGGGGGTGGTGTGGGGGTGGGGGTGGTGGTGGGGTGGTGTGGGTGGTGGTGGTGGATGGTGGGGGTGGTGTGGGTGGTGGTGGTGGAGGGTGGTGTGGGTGGTGGTGGAGGGTGGTGTGGTGTGGTGGTGGAGGGAGGGTGGTGTGGGTGTGGTGGTGGTGGGAGGGTGGTGTGGGTGGAGGTGGTGGTGTGGTGTGGTGTGATGGTGGAGGGTGGTGTGGTGTGGTGGTGGTGGAGGGTGGGTGGGGGTGTGGGTGGGTGGAGGGTGGTGGAGGGGTGGTGTGGGGGTGGGTGGTGGGAGGGTGGTGGTGTGGGTGGGGTGGTGGGGGTGGTGTGGGTGATGGTGGTGGTGGTGGTGGTGGTGAGGGTGGTGGTGTGGTGGTGTGGGTGTGAGGGTGGTGGTGGTGGGGGTGGTGTGTGGTGGTGTTGGTGGTGGGGTGGTGTGGGTGGTGATGGTGGAGGGTGGTGTGGGTGGTGATGGTGGAGGGTGGTGTGGGTGGTGGTGGTGGAGGGTGGTGTGGGTGGTGATGGTGGAGGGGTGGTGGGTGGTGGTGGTGGAGGGTGGTGTGGGTGGTGATGGTGGAGGGTGGTGTGGGTGGTGGTGGTGGAGGGGGTGTGGGTGGTGGTGGTGGAGGGTGGTGGTGGTGGAGGGGTGGTGTGGGTGGTGATGGTGGAGGGTGGTGTGGTGGGTGGTGGTGGAGGGGGGTGGTGGGTGGTGGTGGTGGGTGGTGTGGGTGATGGTGGTGGAGGCTGGTGGTGGAGGGTGGTGGTGGAGCGTGGTGTGGGTGGTGGTGGTGGGGTGGTGTGTGTGGTGTGGTGGTGGTGGTGGGTGGTGGGTGGGGTGGTGGTGGTGGGGTGGTGGGTGGGTGGTGGAGTGGTGGTGGTGGTGGTGGAGGGTGGTGTGGGTGGTGGTGGTGGAGGGTGGTGTGGGTGGTGGTGGTGGGGGTGGTGTGGTGGTGGTGGTGGGGGTGGTGGTGGTGATGGTGGAGGGTGGTGTGGGTGGTGGTGGTGGAGGGGGTGGTGTGGGTGGAGGGGTGGTGTGTGGTGGTGGTGGAGGGTGGTGTGTGGTGGTGGTGGAGGGTGGTGTGTGGTGGTGGTGGAGGGTGGTGTGGGTGGTGGTGTTGGTGGGTGGTGGTGGTGGGTGGTGGTGGTGTGGGTGGTGGTGGTGGATGGTGGTGGTGTGGGTGGTGGTGAAGGTGATGGTGGTGGGGTGGTGGTGGTGGAGGGTGGTGGTGGTGGTGGTGGAGGGGTGGTGGTGGTGGTGGTGGTGGTGGTGTGTGGTGGTGGTGTGGGTGGTGGTGGTGGAGGGTGGTGTGGGTGGAGGTGGTGGTGGGGTGGTGGTGGGTGGTGGTGGTGGAGGGTGGTGTGGGTGGTGGTGGTGGTGGGGTGGGTGGTGGTGATGGTGGTGGAGGGGTGGTGTGGTGGTGGTGGTGGAGGGGTGGTGTGGGTGGTGGTGGTGGTGGTGGTGATGGTGGATGGGGGAGGGGTGGTGGAGGGTGGTGTGGGTGGTGGTGGTGGAGGGGGTGGTGTGGGTGGTGGTGGTGGAGGGTGGTGTGGGTGGGTGGTGGTGGAGGGGTGGTGGTGGAGGGTGGTGTGGGTGGTGGTGGTGGTGGGGTGGTGATGGTGGAGGGTGGGTGGGTGGTGTGGTGGTGGTGGTGGAGGGTGGTGATGGTGGAGGGTGGTGGTGTGGGTGGGTGGTGGAGGGTGGTGGTGGTGGTGGTGGTGGTGGGAGTGGTGGTGGTGGTGGTGATGGTGTGGTGGGGTGGTGTGGGTGGTGATGGTGGAGGGGTGGTGTGGGTGGTGGTGGTGGGGGTGGTGGTGGGTGGTGGTGGTGGGTGGTGGAGGGGGGTGGGTGGGTGGTGGTGGAGGGTGGTGTAAATGGTGATGGTGGAGGGGTGGTGTGGGTGGTGATGGTGGACGGTGGTGTGGGTGGTGATTGTGGAGGGTGGTGTGGGTGGTGGTGGTGGAGGGGTGGTGTGGGTGGTGATGGTGGAGGGGTGGTGTGGGTGGTGATGGTGGAGGGTGGTGTGGGTGGTGATGGTGGAGGAGTGGTGTGGGTGGTGATGGTGGAGGGTGGTGTGGGTGGTGATGGTGGAGGGTGGTGTGGGTGGTGGTGGTGGAGGGTGGTGTGGGTGATGATGGTGGAGGGTGGTGTGGGTGGTGGTGGTGGAGGGTGGTGTGGGTGGTGATGGTGGAGGGTGGTGTGGGTGATGGTGGAGGGGTGGTGTGGGTGGTGATGGTGGAGTTCGGTGTGGGTGGTGATGGTGGAGGGTGGTGTGGGTGGTGGTGGTGGAGGGGTGGTGTGGTGGAGGAGTGGTGTGTGGGTGTGGTGGAGGAGTGGTGTGGGGTGGTGGTGGAGGGGTGGTGTGGGTGGTGATGGTGGAGGGGTGGTGATGGTGGAGGGTGGTGTGGGTGGTGATGGTGGAGGGGTGGTGTGGGTGGTGATGGTGGAGGGTTGGAGTGGGTGATGGTGGAGGGTGGTGTGGGTGGTGATGGTGGTGGGGGTGGTGTGGGTGGTGATGGTGGAGGGGTGGTGTGGGTGGTGATGGTGGAGGGTGGTGTGGGTGGTGATTGTGGAGGGTTGGTGTTGGTGATTGTGGAGGGTTGGTGTTGGTGATGGTGGAGGGGTGGTGTGGGTGGTGATGGTGGTGGGGTGGTGTTGGTAGTGGTGGTGGAGGGGTGGTGTGGGTGGTGATGGTGGAGGGTTGGAGTTGGTGATGGTGGAAAGGTGGTTACCTTGAGGTTACCTTGAGGTGCTTCCGGGGCTTAGCGTCCCCGCGGCCCGGTCGTCGACCAGGCCTCCTGGTTGCCGGACTGATCAACCAGGCTGTTGGACGCGGCTGCTCACAGCCTGACGTATTAGTCACAGCCTGGTTGATCAGGTATCCTTTGGAGGTGCTTATCCAGTTCTCTCTTGAACACTGTGAGACGTCGGCCAGTTATGCCCCTTATGTGGAGCGTGGTGTGGGTGGTGATTGTGGAGGGTCGTGTTGGTGGTGATTGTGGAGGGTGGTGTGGGTGGTGATGGTGGAGGGTGGTGTGGGTGGTGATTGTGGAGGGGTGGTGTGGGTGGTGATGGTGGAGGGTGGTGTGGGTGGTGATGGTGGAGGGGTGGTGTGGGTGGTGATTGTGGAGGGTCGTGTGGGTGGTGATGGTGGAGGGGTGGTGTGGGTGGTGATGGTGGAGGGTGGTGTGGGTGGTGATTGTGGAGGGTGGTGTGGGTGGTGATTGTGGAGGGTCGTGTGGGTGGTGATGGTGGAGGGGTGGTGTGGGTGGTGATGGTGGAGGGTGGTGTGGGTGGTGATGGTGGAGGGGGTGGTGATGGTGGAGGAGTGGTGTGGGTGGTGTTGGTGGAGGGGTGGTGTGGGTGGTGGTGGTGGAGGGTGGTGATGGTGGAGGGTGGTGTGGGTGGTGATGGTGGAGGGGTGGTGTGGGTGGTGATGGTGGAGGGTTGGAGTGGGTGATGGTGGAGGGTGGTGTGGGTGGTGATGGTGGAGGGGGTGGTGTGGGTGGTGATGGTGGAGGGGTGGTGTGGGTGGTGATGGTGGAGGGTGGTGTGGGTGGTGATTGTGGAGGGTTGGTGTTGGTGATTGTGGAGGGTTGGTGTTGGTGATGGTGGAGGGGTGGTGTGGGTGGTGATGGTGGAGGGGTGGTGTTGGTAGTGGAGGTGGAGGGGTGGTTTGGGTGGTGATGGTGGAGGGTTGGAGTTGGTGATGGTGGAGGGGTGGTTACCTTGAGGTTACCTTGAGGTGCTTCCGGGGCTTAGCATCCCCGCGGCCCGGTCGTCGACCAGGCCTCCTCGTTGCCGGACTGTTCAACCAGGCTGTTGGAAGCGGCTGCTCGCAGCCTGACGTATGAGTCACAGCCTGGTTGACCAGGTATCCTTTGGAGGTGCTTATCCAGTTCTCTCTTGAACACTGTGAGGGGTCGGCCAGTTATGCCCCTTATGTGGAGGGTGGTGTGGGTGATGATTGTGGAGGGTGGTGTGGGTGGTGATTGTGGAGGGGTGGTGTGGGTGGTGAAGGTGGAGGGTGGTGTGGGTGGTGATTGTGGAGGGGTGGTGTGGGTGGTGAAGGTGGAGGGTGGTGTGGGTGGTGATGGTGGAGGGGTGGTGTGGGTGGTGATTGTGGAGGGTCGTGTGGGTGGTGATGGTGGAGGGGTGGTGTGGGTGGTGAAGGTGGAGGGTGGTGTGGGTGATGATTGTGGAGGGTGGTGTGGGTGGTGATTGTGGAGGGTCGTGTGGGTGGTGATGGTATAGGGGTGGTGTGGGTGGTGAAGGTGGAGGGTGGTGAGGGTGATGATTGTGGAGGGTGGTGTGGGTGGTGATTGTGGAGGGTGGTGTGGGTGGTGATTGTGGAGGGTGGTGTGGGTGATGATTGTGGAGG